TAAAAATTGTTACCGTCTAGTCCGACCTTATTTTTTTCATATGCACATTTCAAACAGTACAGATATATTTCATTATGTCCTCCTTCATACCCACCTTCCCGAAACATGGCATAGAGCAGCACAAAAACATTTATGGCTCTACATTCAGTGGCCATTATGCCATATTAACTCTGCATTAGCACCGAGATGTCGCTGGTCTAATTCCTGCTCGCTTCACATGTTTCTTTCGAGGCAGACTTTCTAGACATTGAAGATCATGGGCTCCAGCTTTTCTCTTGTTCAGCCACAGATGCCGAGTTTCATAAGACAATTGAACGAGGGTGTTGTCGTGACCGTAGCAGCGATCTGTCCTAGTTTAATAACCTCCTTATTCTGACCAGACGAAAAAGCCAAGAAGTCGGAAAGTAGGCACTGCACGGGCAAGTACACCGAACGGTTTATCTTCTAGCTGGTAAATATACAGCGATACTACATTGCACTGCCGTCGGGTTAGAACTAGGCGTCGTTGCAAATACAAAGTGCAAGGTTCCCCACTTTCGTTCTTTCTCTCTGTTGTTCCTTGACCATAGCAGATGACGTACAGTACAACCACTCCTGTCTGGCTACAAGCACGGCAAGTAAATAAAGCCTTGCGCAATTTCCCCCAGTTTCTGTCGCTGGCAAGATTATTTCTATAGAATGGGTAAGCTTTTGCCTGCATGCAACCGATAAGACCAACGACAAGTCAGATGCCAGTCATCCCCGGTTACCATAGCGCCAAGTTTGTCCTGTCATCCTACTCATTCTTACAAGATTACATGGCTACCGTAAGAACAGCAGCAGCAGCAGCAGCAGCAGCAATGATATAGAAAAGAAGCTTTTGCTGAGTCTGTTTAAGAGCGTCTTGAAGTCTGACAAGTCGGGTTGCCTCTCACAGCTAGAGCAACATTGAAAAGATGCTGAAACCGGGAACAGAGTTTCTCGTTTCCGCTTGCCACCGACTAAAAGCCCAACAGCCCAACAAGCTTCTCTCTATTTACTGCCCCTTTTGTGTCTTGTCTTGAGTCTCACTTCCTCTTGTTTTCAGGCTTTACTTTGTTGTTTTGCTGTTCTGACTGTAGCCGTCTATCGTCTGCGCTTCCCCTGCAACAGAATCACCGCGCCCTGGAAGCGGCGTGAGCGAAAGCAAGAAAGGGAAAAGTGGAAAGGGGAAAAACAGAATCGGCTACCGCCAAATATTCTGAACGTTCACTGGTTAAGCTACCATCCAATCAGGCTTTTTCTTTTCTGCCTGTTGTTTCATAGGTGTTTGAGTCAGCTTTTCAAGAAGATGAACGCCAAAGGAACAAGATTCAGCTTCTAGTTCCTATTGCAAAATGGATTATCTTAGTGTAGGCGTGGAATACGGGAACCACCGTATGGCGTCTTTCGTCCTTTTCGCTCTCCCTATCACTGCCAGCCCATCCATTTTCAGCCAAGTTTAGCTCAATCCTTTGCTGAAGTCCGATGGCGACCACAGGCTTTGCAGCAGCTGAGCATCACTATTAGATGAAAATAAGTACGTTGAGCATCAGCGTTTTCCGAACCCAGTTTACTTGCAACTATTGGATGGACAGGCCCCAAGTAGACCCCGACCTAGAAACCCCATCAAAATCTTATTCACCAAGTTCCTTTACCTATATATACATGATTTTTTCTCTAACATCGTTTCCTGGCTGCTTTTGGTAAACTAAAGATTTGAACTGTCCAACGTTGGCCGATGTACCGTCCGTTCAGTCGCCACCGTATTTCTGCTGCTCATGGAAATCTTCTTGCACTCAAGCTCCTATTCTAGCAGTTCCCGTCAGGGTCCATTTTGGTCTGTCACGTGCTGTTTTCGTTCCCTACGTATGGATGGACATTTCTTTCCCGCCTTCGCTTCTATCGCTTGCCAGTTTCCTTAGTTCTAGCTAAACACAGTTGTTCGCTCTTCTTATAGGCTAGACTAGCCTTAAGGCATTCAGTCTTCTGTGACATCGAGTGACTTGATCCTCTTGCCGTACCCATTTACTTACTGTACAATGTATTCTGTACTAGACAACGTAATTGTTAGGCAGTGTTGGCGTCTGTCCTCTTTCTTCTCTTTTCTTTTATACTGACTTTCATAGAACTGCAGTGGTTATTCGTTGTTTTTTCTTTTCTGTGTTACCAATGGTCTTTTGTGGAACTGGAGGGTCTTGCTTTAGGAAGTACTCTGCTCCAGCCAGGCGTCGTTTGACTATTCGCAGGCTATTAGCAGGACAACGGAAAGTAACGTAAGGCAAGACAGAGCTGCTCTATAGACTCAACCGGTTACGCGCACTTCGTAAGAAATCTCCTGTGAGATTTGCTCCTCTTTGCAATTTATCACCCATATGCCGATCCACCTTACTCTTTTTTGAAAAACGCTCGCCACTGGCTTTTTGAAAAATTAAGAAAAAAAAAAACAGATAACTGATGCCGAATGCTGGACTATAAGGCTAAAAAAGCTAAATCGAACGAATTACATGGGAGGAGCGATTGGTGAAGGCAAAACGCGGATTATGCGGGTTTAGAGGGCAGTGGCCACTGATTGTCTATCTCTGCCTGGCCTTAACCGTTTAATGCCAGCATACTTAGCAGTAGTATTACGTCCTTGTGTTAATTTTTCTTCAGCCTTTGTGGAAGTCTCGTATTTCTTGCCTTTTTTTATACTCTCGTCAAGACAGAACCCGACTTGGCTGTTCAGGTACGTTGACAAAAGCCAAAGTTGGTAACTATCCGATAACAGAGGGAACAACAAAGAAAGTCAAAAGGAAACGTCGCTGGTGCTGTGGATACGGCTAACCTTTTACGATCTGAGCAAATCCGGGGTAGGGGGCAGCGAAGCTTACGTCCGTCTCTTTTTTTTTCAAATGGAAAATCAAGCAGTTAGCGCATGTGGCGACACGAAACCTCAGCTTTGATCCAGAAGAACTGGGCATACTGGAAAAGGAGAATCGCCTAAGTGGTATAAGGAATAAGTTTAGAAAAATAGGTACGTCTAGTGAAGGTTGGCCATATGCTTACAGATGTCTATACCAACAGCATAATGACGAAACGAGCATTAGAGGAGTGGATAGAGAGGGGGAACTTAAAGTAAAATGAAGATACTGGAAGTTAATGAGCCCTCAAGCAGGACTGGCGAATCCTGAGGGAAAAGGCAAGGCAATGAAACAAGGTTTGGGAGTGATTTCCGACAATTACCATCGCCTCTACCACGGCTGTTGCTACTGGTAAAAGAAGCAAGAATTCATTTTTGCTCCAACCAATAATAATGCAAATGCTAGGCGTTTTGCTGCTAGTAACTTTGTACTAGTAATGTACATAGTGGTACTGGAGGGTATAAAAGGAAGCGAACTGCAGTAAACCAATGAAAGAAAATCAAGTGGCAATGTCGTATTGAACGCCACAAAGCGTTATTTAAGTATAGGACATTCAACTTGTATATACATCTATTAAATGAATCTAGAATAATTGTGAGTTTCGATCACAACTAAATGATACGTTTTGCATATTTGTTTGTCGCCTCTAAACCTTATGCCACCTATTGTACTTTGACCTATCTGACGTTTTAGGCCCTGTTTGGTACGATATAACTATAACGGCTAATCTTATCCTTCTCCGCAGGTGTGTTGATGCCCAGGGGGAGATCGAGGTTGCCAGAGAAAACAATCTACAGGAAACGCAGAGGAGACAATCATAGCATCCAAACTCTTTAATACATAATAATAATAATAATAACGGCCGGGTCTAGTTACAGCTACAGATGCGGCCAACCTCCAAATTTTCGCAACAATGGGTTACCGAGATGACGCGTATACCGATAACTACCATAATATTAGCAACAACGACAGCGCCCGAAGCTGAACTGTGATGTATGCGCCACATGGAGTCATTCCAGATATGCATACGCACTCTTTATACGTTGCATACAAAATAACGGACGTCCGCAGCAGGAGACAAGGTAGAAAAAAGGTTGTGGACAAACATACTTATCTCGCGCTAGTAAGCAGACGATGTACAAGAAAATGGAGCGAGATATTAAGCAAGGATGAAGAAAGCAGGAAGACAGTTATTTCGGTGAAGGCGGCAGTGTCGTTAGCGCCGATGAATAAGGAAGGCCACGTGACAAAGAAGACCCCACATATCTCGTCCAACTCGGATAGTAGTCGTCGTAGTAGTACCTCTACCGGCATGTACGTACTAAGCCGCGTTGTGTAACGTCAGGCACAGTGAAATGAAGATTTAGCGGTACGGAAGACCAAAGGGGCGCAGGGTGCGAAGACATCTGCAGAAATCGGAAAACGAAGCAACTGACAGCACTAACGAAGCGCGGATAAAGGCATACGCTTAGTAGACGTACCGCTGCTGCCAGTGAATGCGTTCAGACCACACTTTTTTTGGTCAAACATCAGATAGAAAGGCAGCATGAAGATTGTAGCCACTAGAATATAGACTAACTACATTTGCTCTAGGCATGTATGAAGAACTTAACGAAAACCTTAAAGGTATCGATTACAATCATAACCATAAATAATACCACATCCATAGTTAGTTCCGCATGAATTTACAGGTCTCAAACAAACACCGGCTGGTTTATATATAACATAGCTGAGCCTATAAGCACTAGCAAAACTTAAGCTAAGGTTAAGATAGTAAATCTGATTCGCTGAGTACAAATCGATATATTTCTGTCTCCATTCAAAACTATGTAAAAAAAAAATGGCGACTTTTTTGAAAGGCATTTTATGACATAGCATTTTCTTTACTCACATATATTAAAAGTGAAAGGAATTAACACACTACGTTATTTAAATCCGTGTATTAGTTTTTTTCTTTAAAAACTTTTTCTATATTTGGCCAATACCGTAATTTATGGTTGCTGTCATGACTACACGCGTTGTATGCCTATTGTATTCCATGATGCTATCGAATATTAGGACAAAGTGAGAGACAACGTTGACATGCCAACAGTTACTTACCTCTTCCCATCGATCGAAGACACAGCCTTGCAAGAGCGCGTCTGGAACGACCCTCCTCCAGTTGAATTCGTACGCTTTTGTCATCTTGTAGTTGTAGTTGTTGATGTTGTTTTTCTGCCTCGCCAATGCTGTAAGCGCCACGTAAGCGAAGCACAACAGCCACGCCTTAGCTGGGTTAGCTCGGTGCCAAATGGTAATTAACGGCGGTTTCAAATCGCCGTTTTACGCTGAACGCCTCTTTTCGACTTCCCACCTGACGTCGAAGCGCGAGGTCGACGTCGAGGAACAAGAGGTGCTGCACCTCGAGCAGTGGGCGCTTGTTAATAGCGCCCTCTTCGATCATCGATGAGCCTCGTCCACTGCCCCATCAATACCGCGGCGGCTGGTTCTGCAGACCTCTACTGCAGACCAGCTTCGCCGGCCTGGGCCAGCTCTTTGAGCTGTTACCGTGCGTTCTGGGTCTCAGTCGATACTGATCCGGTCCCGCAGGGGAGAGGTCAACTTCGGCAAAGCTTCACTGCGTCACCCGATCGACAATGGATGCAATGACAATGGATAATGACTTTAGTCAGCAAAAAGACATCGGCATATTAGAGTACGCTCCTGTGCAGCGAGAATGAGGGAATCAATCTCAACAGTTCTTCATAAAGACGGAACTGAAGATGACGTAAACTTTGTAGACGAGATCAGCGCGTGTCTCGTATTGTGGCGTCGACTGGAATAGCAGTTGCATGCGAAACAATGCATAATATTGCCGAGAGTCTTCGATCGATTCGTGAAGGTAAGAGAGTTGATGTTGTTGTTGAATGACGACAAGTTTGTTACTTTTTTGATTCAGCTCTTCGAACTTAGACACTAGACGCCTGCTACCAGTAAAGCTAGCCGGCAGGGTCCTCAGCCGACCTTCATGCCTATTGGTCGCTCTATACCAAGCGACTCATAAGTTACACGTAAGTCACCGGTAAGACCTGAAAGAACAAGAAAAAACCAAGCCACTTGTTCGTAGTGTGTCTAAAAATTATGACAGGATATTCAATCAATTATACAAGATACTAAAGGAAAGTAAACGAAAAAAGACTAAGAGTTAGATTAGTCCTATAAAAGAACGAATGATCAGTTCCTTTAAACAGTAACAACCTTTTAAAGTAACAACCTTAACCGACCATTAGCTTTTATTTCGTACAACGTAGATGTATCAAAGTGTACGTCGTAAACTATCTACCCCTACTACAATAATATCGCCACCGATCTATCTACTTTCTCGGTAAAAGGTTGCGCGTCAGCTTACCCTGTCCTTACTTTGCCCTTCTCTCTCTCTCTCTCTCTCTCTGGCAAAAATTTTCGCTTATCAAACCAATCTCTTTTCATCCTTTGATGCTCAAATCCTGCTGCAAATTTGCCCTTTGCCGTTCCCTCTTTCAGTGTCGCAAAGGCTATGCTAGCTGATGTGCCGGTGAACGTATGTCTGTACACCAACGTCTGCCAGAATTTCCTGTCTCTTGCTATTTTTTGCTGCGTATGCGCGTCTATGTACGGTTGTGGTAATTAATGCTGTTCTCGCCTTTTTGACCATATCTATGTAGCTTTATCTGTGTACATCCCAAGTTGCCCTCTATCTGGCAACGTACATCTGAAAAGCGCACGCCTACGGATGAATGGACCGTCGGTGCGCTTGCTTTTGGTCAACACGTCGTGTGACCTAGAATCGTTCTTGCAAAAGGGTGGACGAAAGTAGAAAAGTACGAATAGCGAAAGAAAACGATTCTTCTCTGCCCAAACGTTGTGGCCTTTTTTATGCATGAAACAACGAAATCGGTCAAACTACTTTCTCGCAGTATAAACAGCGCTGCGAGATAGTAGCAAACGAGCAATAAGCTGAATGAATAGGTCCGGAAGTCCCTGCTCGATCTCACTAACCATTGGTAGAGTTTTCACTAATACAAAAGACATCTTCCTGAGAAATAACAAATGATTTTTTCCTGGCCATGTTGCATCGTCTTGCGAGAACTGGCAGTCACATGATTAATCCGGTTAGTCATGTACAGTATAGGCGTATTGGCGTCTAAAGCAGGCGAGCCAATTTTGACGAGTAGAACTAGCATACCTGCAATCGAAGTGCCCCACTTTTACGTATGCTTCAATAAAAGTTTCAATTTGTACGCAAGTAACTGTGAATTATCCTGTCAAGACCGTCAAAACTCGCTATGGCTCTTACGTCGCTTCTACTTTTTCCAGCTCTTTGCTGTTAAAGGCTAATAGAAAGGGTGAAATGTTTGCTTGTTGTTCACCGCAATTTTCAAAAAAAAAAAAAGACAAAAATTCTTATAGTTACTGCGTGGTTTAAGTTGATACTTTATGGGAATGCAGCAACGTGTAAGAAGAGGGTAGAAAGCAGAAAAAAAAAAACATTGTACACAGAAAATCTTTACGTATATGGCGTACAACTATTATACTATTATATAGCCCATATTAATTAAACTATATAATATATATTATTGTAGTTTTATTGGTTAAGCTAGTGTATTAGACGAGTGTGTTTTTATCGATAGCCGGCTGATTGTGTTTTCGATTTTTAAAACAAATATTGCAAAACCAAAGATATGTCACCAAAGATAAATTCTGTCGTCAAAGTCAAAAATAAATACTGCCATCGAAAACACTTTCTGAGTCACAAATTAGTCTAAATCTCGACTACTTGGTCGGATTTTTGGCTAAAGAAAGATAGGAATTAAGAAGCTAACTGATTTAAGCAACAAAGGCGTATAGAAAGGGCCGTCGTCAGCCGCTCGGTTAGCAGTGGTTATTATTACGTATGAGCATGGTAATTTGTAAACTTATGAGCGCATGCAGTAAAAACGCAAATTTTCATGTCGGAACTTAGCTAACGTCACTCTAGTTTAGTTTTGCAGAATGGCTGGGATAGGGTAGATGGAAACGTTTTACGATATTAAGTTCTAATTGTCCTTTATTGTTACCATGCGTCTAATGGCATAAATAAGTTAGAGCCGGTCTTGGACATCTTACGATGCCGTTCTCGATAATACAATAGCCGGTCAAATACACGTCACTTGTCATACGATAGAAAGTATACGCTATAGCGGAAGAATTTCCAAATTTCTGTTAACAAAAGATGGATAATTATAAACAGAAAACACTGATAATAATAATAATCAATGCGCTGCATCACCACCGTCACCAGCGTACGTTCACGCGCACAAAAAGTTTGGGAACTTTTCGCTCTTGTTTGCCATCAAGCTAAGAATAGCATAAGAGTAAAAACCATTATTTCTTTTTTACAGAAGTTCGAGCAATATTTTTATAGCCTGTTTTATGTGAGTCGAACATGGGGTTTAGCTCCGACGGTTGAACTTGATTCAACCGAAGGCATTACTCATTATTTCTACTATCTGCTAGACAATTAGGCAGGACAGGAGAGGGACTCAGTATCTCAATTATACAATGAACGTATAAACGGTCCATAATTCGATTGCAAACAACTGGACAAGTCAATGCCCTTATTACTATTATTATATTGACAGGAAGGATCATAATTATAATATACAGAATTACGGCCATTGTTGATCTAGAACAAAACTATAAACAGGGCCAATATCAACCCAAGGCTAACTAGGAGACCCAAGATGCTTCCAATTTCGCAACGGACTTCTTTACTCGAGACGTGCAGAATATCGTGATATTATTAATTGTATGATAGTATTAATATGTTAACTCACACTTGACGCAACCAACCATTTTCTTAATGATAGGAATTGAATAAATAATCAGTGCTACCCGAGTGTAATACGACATAAAAGCCATGGCTATAATAAGGTGCCGGCGGCGTTGTTTAATGATACTCCTTTTTTTCCTTAGACCAATACGGTAACGAATGTCAAGTGCGTATACTTTTACATATTTAGGTCTATGGCCGTGCTCCAATACTGTTTCACACCCAATGATGGTTTTTATATCATATCAATTACGAGTTCGGTTCCCCACGGGAGTTACAAGCAATCTGGTGGGGTTGAACGCGGTAACCCTTCTGCTCGTACAGCGCCGCATCACGATTATATTTCACAACCGGTACTTAGAAGTAGCTTCATCCCCACACAATGAGGTCACTAGTCTTTCTACCTCATAACGCGAGCATTTACTTACTTGGCCTGACCCTCCGGTCACACAGCCACTCCAAACGGTCGTTGGTGCGCATTTTTCTATCATGGTTATAGACAACGTCTTGATGTGGCTGCCAACCTCCGGAGATAGGCTAGCCGCTCTTCCTTCAATCTTGTGCTGATCTTGTCCCTGCTAGAGTATCGTTCCCCATTTCAACCCACCATTCATTGTCCTTTTACAGGCCAGTAGGCCTCCTACGATCGACGTTTTGAACGACCGCGGTTTGTCGTTAAAAATCTCTAATGGAGTTGTGAATAATGAGCCTTCGTGTGAAAGAACAAAAGGGAGCAGAGGCCTATACGATCGGAGGATAAAGGACTAAGTCGCCTTCCTAAAGAACGGAATTGTTCACACATACGCAACACCCATGCAGCTAACGTTTAAAAACAGAATTAAATCCAGTGCGGCAAAGATGTATCTAGGTGGCGTGCTTATAGGATTCGGGCAACAATCCAAATAACGCCTTAACAAAGGCAATAATGATCGCTGCAAAATAAAACGACAGGCGGCAGCAGCAACTTCGGGAACACCTACATCTTTTAATTAAAAGCACATACATACACTCACTCTATACAACGCTGTATATGCTGTAACTGCAGCTTGTCCCGTCCCCCGAGGTGGCTGTTGACTGGTAGCTTAATCAGCAAGCAGTCAATGGGTTTGCAGACTTCTCGCCAGAATCGATCACGCTTCTATCACGACCGTGTAAATTTAGCGGATCCTACGCGCTGTTGCCTCGACTTCGTCAATCAGCGCCTGAGCACAGATGGGGATGATGATGATGGTGGCTCTTGTTGAGGATGACCGCACTTTCATTTTAATTTTCTATATCGTTCGTTTCGATCTCGAAAGGGCCGCATGTCTTTGCACACCGGTATACCACAACTAAAACGATTTTAGGCCACTTCATTTTGTTGTGTCTAGGCTCCGCTGCTATTTACGGCTGTTGGTATTTTTGTGCATGGTTTTCTTATTGCCACTCTTGCTTCTGCTCCTGGTTTTGCCCAGTTACCCAGGCCAACAAAGCTCGAGTTGGCCAGTGGCACTACTGCTGTCATTGTCCTGTGAACCTGTTGCCTCGTAACCTCCGGCATTGGACTTAATCTCGCCGCCGCATAACTGAATCCCAGTGTTTTACTCGTTACCTCCCTCCGTAGAATTCTGTACAACCTTGCCTATTCACCTTCTCTCCTTGAACACTTCAGCCTTGTGACCTAGTCTATTACGTATAGATCCCGCTCTACTTTCTCGCATCACACGGACTTCTGGCCGAAGCATAAGGGATTATAGTGACCGGGTATACAGGCACAAATATATAAGCACATCTACTAACGAAACTAAGCTGAACAGAGTCGAGGTTATCGGCGGAAGAAGCTCATGCTCCTTGGAAAGCCAGTAAAACGAAGATCCGTTTACTGATATACTACCATAAAAACACGTAGTTGCTTGTAATTTAACTTGCAGATTTCTCGTATGAATATAGCGTAAATAATCATTTGATCACACGGGATAGGGCTGACTTTCGGCTGCAAGATGCGAATTTACCAGTCGTAAGTAAAACCTAGAACTTGTATACTTTTATACTGCGATTCTAATTCTTGCAAATTAGCGACTGAGAAGCTGAAATCATATCTATCAAATGTGCAAATGACGTTTACGTAGTGTTGGTACAATTATGTGGGTGGGTGTTGAAGCCCTGAATATCAGAGCTATTTCAACCAGCGACCCTATTATTTCATATACTAGCCATATCTACCTGATATCGGACTATTAAGGGATTACAGGAATACAT